GGATACAGATAGGTTCTCCTGTGAGGAGTATATATATTTGTGTGTGTAAGTGTATGTACAGTCGCGTTAAAATATTAAAAATTTTCGTTTTGACATTTTCATCTTATCGTTAGACGCTGGGCGTCGCTCCTTTCAGAAATCCCAAGTTTTGGCCGAGTAAAATGGCAGCATCTAAAGGGCTGCTCAGGGCAGGGTGTGTCTTTACGAAATTGATATAGCGCGAGAAGAATTCAGCCATAGGAAGGGACGGACTGTATTTACAGAGATAGGAGATTGGCGCGCTCTACCGCAGGCAGTCGGGCCCTGCGGTAGGTGGTGGAGCATTCCTGCGTGAAAGGTTTCCTTTAAGGGGTGAAAGGATTTCGAGGGTGAAAAAAAAAGGTAGAAGAGGGTAGAAAAGAGGCAACAGTGTATGCGCGAGAGTGGGGAGGGAAGGGGTAGGGAGTAAAGGAACGGAAATAAATGTGGCCGTGAAAAAAAAAAAAAAAAAAAAAAAAAAACAGTACGAGAACAAGGGATGAAAATGCAACGTACGGCGAAGCAAGCCCGTGTTTAATAATTTAAATCGGGGAATGAAATTTTTCTTTCTCGGCCAATTTTTCATCGGCCGAAGATACCGGAGAGAGGCTAGTTTCCAGAAGGTTCGCGACCAATCGCGAATCCACTCACGTCAACCCATTTCGTGCGATACTTATTAACGGCAACTGCGCGTGACTGGCCGTTAAAAACGTTCCTCTTGGTTAAGGGATGAAATATCAAGGGGGTGTCTACACGAGTATCCATTACTTAAGGAGCGTCCGACCTCGCGGGTCAAGATCCTGGCTACTGCGTTCTTCATCCCCTATCCTCGGTCCCTCTGGGGATGACGACGAGGGGGGAGGGTGCGTTCAATCCCCCCCCAAGGGGGGAGGGACGCGCCAGACACCAGATAGGGGTTGTAAAAGGCCAGAAAGTGTTTTTAGTCCAGACGGTACTCTTCCAATTCGGCAGCATCTCATTAGGGGGATGAACCGAAAAATCATCCCTTAATCTTTATACCAGTTTTATACCTTGTAGTCTGCGTCTGGCTACTGTCGTTTCAATATATATATATAGAGACGCATACCCCTATACACGCAGAGCCAGCAACTGCCGTGACCATGTAACCAGGAACTCGACTTGGCACACGGGTGGCTGGGAGCCTAATGGCTGGATGCACCAGATGTGCCAGGAAGCTGTGAAATGCACTGGGAGACAGCGCGGGCCCTTGTCTCGACGAAAACGTGGCTGGAGAAAATGCATGTAAAGGCTGCCATTCGTTCCGCTATTACTTGCGGCATTATAGCAGTGCACTGTAGTATAGACAATTCGATACAGTGTACGTGAAATATCTACAGTGCGTGTATACAGGTTATACACGGGCTGGTAGAGAAGGTCGTTGATAAAGATTAACTATATCGGACGACTACGTAATGGCCGCTTATCAGTAGCGAACGATTAATAAATATCGAGTTATACTGAAAACGTTAAGAAAAATGTTAAAATTTTTATTTAATGCTTTAAGGTTAATTCAATAAATGCATTTAGACGCGCTACAGTGCATTGGGGAATAAAATAGGTTTATCCAGGGGCCATCTCCGCGTGGATATCAACGCTAAAGAGTCCCCTGGATCTTGCGCTTTAACTTGGCGCGACTATAGCACTGCCGCGATCTATTGAAAGTCTCGGGGTTATTTCTTACGGGGTATCCGATATCTCTGTCTTCGTCTCTCCCAGTGGACAAGGGGCTTGACTTGAGAGAGAGACAAAATTCAAAGAGCCTCGTCACTCGCTCGCCCTTATTTAACCACGAACCCATTTACCTTTCGTCCCCTATTTCTCCCTAGCCATCTACCCCTGTATCTATGGAACAGCCTAATGGGCTTATTTCGCCAAGGAAGAAATAAAAGTCTTCGAGTCTTTAGATCCAAGTGCATAGTATGCACCCACGTTCGCGTGCGTCTCGTGTTAAATGCACCTGCCGACGGACACTAGCGTCGCGACGTCGACGTCGCATACGACGCTTATAAATACTGACGTTAAAATCAGTCCATCTTATGAATTTGTGTTTGGCAAAAAATTGAATTAAAAAGAAAAGTCAAAATAATTATTTTTATGTAACTCATGCATGAAAAACGCTACTTTTCGTGCCTCCGAAGTGTGGCGAAAGTGGCGAAAGTACTATTAATCGACAGGGGAGGTCCAGGTGACTCTTTCACGTGGAAAGCCACGCGAAGATGGCCCCTGGTATATACCGTATTGTAAGAAGTAAAAATTTTTGTTGCTGAAAATCAATGACAATTACTGAATAAATTTTAAGTCCAAAAATACAGTAAGCGGATTGAGCATACTTGGGGAGTTATGGGATTATTCCGACGTAACGTCGCTAACTGACTCCGGCTAGTTTTCCTCTAAATTTAATGTCTCTTGCATAATTCCAGAAGCTCCTTTTATCGTTGCCGCTTAACTAAAATCCTGTTTCAGCCGTGACTTGCACACGGTACAGGACACGTGTCACTTCAATTACAAAACTCCCATGCGACCAGCGTGCAATGTCCGTGCATGCTAAATTATACCGGGTGACGCGATCAAATAAGACAATCATTGAACAGACGCGAGATAAATTACAGGGTGAAAAAAAAATTCACTGATAAGTTATCAAAAATGTCAAGTATTCGGTACAGTCTGAAAAATTAATTTACGCGCAGAGATTGAATTTTGATTTATCTCCTGTAAGATCCTCGAGATTAATTTCAGTCGAGTGGGACGTTACGTTAAAAATTTTTCAAGCGAAAGAATTTTTATTTTTACATTCCCAGACACGAATATATACTTCTGGTATATATATAGTAGTCGTGTACAAATGCGATTGCGACTCGGTACAATCTTCCTTGAGTACTTAATCACTTAATGGATGGTTTAACGTGATAATAAAATACGAGATGATACGCAGAATTTAATTTCAAGGAAAATTCTTATAACGGGTGGCAAGTATTACTTTGTATTTTTATTTATACGTACTAATGCACTTTACAAGAAAAACCATTAATTCGATTGTAGATACAGTCCGTGTAAAAATTTATTTAACATATATCTAGCTACGTATATAGTAAATAAGTACTCCGTACCAATCTCGGAAGAAAATTTCTTAGTGAGAAATGGAAAACTCCATTTCACAGCAATTTAATCAATTGCGATAATACAGCAAATGACTTACTACGTTAGTCGGACGTTTCGTTAGATTTGCCCGAGTGATTACGTCACGAGATCGTATTCAACCCGTTCAACCCCTAGAAATGGGGTTGCTCTGAAAATTGCTTGAATACTACTTACTACTTGAGGGAACTCACGAAATAGCAAGACGCTCCTGATATACCTTGGGTACAGTCCCGGTAGAAGATACGTAAAATTTACGGTAGAGGGGATGCCCCTTTTTTCTTCATTAAATTTTCTTTCACTTTTTTTTTCAACCATTATTACTTCATATAAAATTTCAGACGAAACTGATTGAGGTCAATTGGAATAAAAAAAAAAGTTGAATAGTCCTTTGATAAGGTCTGAATGCAATTCGCACGAACGACTAGTGACTGTAGCCATTAGACAAAAGAGAAACGTTGTTCGAAAAACTTTGAAAAAAAATGTATTTTCTATATACGAAATTTGGACACGGCTAATGAGTAGCTATTAGTCATTTGAAATTTTTTTGAGAGACTGATAAAAATGTCAATTTTGAAAATATCGATATTACGTGATTCAATAAATTATCGATGCCGAGAAATTCGATGAGATTGAAAAACTGCCGAGTTCCCCTTGAAAATTCCGTGACTAATTATCAGCCGAGGATTCCGGCGACTCGTACCGATGACGTCACGCTTTATTCAGACACGCGAATAAACTGCCGAGACGAACTTTGACCTTTGAGATTATGACAGCGCAAAAAGACACCAAGTCCGTCAAATTAAAAAAAAGGCATTGAAAAAAAAATGCATCGTTCCAAATTCACCTCTACTCCCCTCAAATTCAAACCCAACCCAATCCTCGTCCCAACACCCCAAACATAACCAATACGAAAAACAGCAAGATCCCCAAATTTCATAATTTTTTCCCCAAAATCAAACCAATCCCCAGCATTATTATGAAAAATCCTAAAAACGTTCCACGCACAAGGGTAGACGTTCAGACTGAATCTGAAAAATAAAATTTCAAATAAGCACGCGCCTCCCATAAAGAAGAAAGCTCGATCCCTATTGGCCAAAGTGAAGTCGAGGACAGCCAATCACGTGTTAAATCGACCAATCAGCACAGGTCCAAGAGTACAGTCATTAGCAACACGCTGATCTCAGATCAATCTAAAGGTCATCCAAGGCCCAACCGTGATAACTGATAAGGTCACATACGCCCCTACAAGAATGCCAGGCCGCTTATAGATTTTCCAAGGATATCGATGCACGAAACCATTCTCCCACGAAATCACCTTCAACCCCTTCGCAATCAGTTTCCATCTGCCTTTTATCAACCCCACATACATAACCGCATACAAAGTTCAGCCTAACCACAAAGCGGGTCCGACAGGACGGTGCTAAGGTTAAATTCTGAGAAGCAACGGCCCGCTCTCGAGACTCTTGAAATATTCTGTCGCCACCCGTTATAGCGTCCCTTACGTGTATCCACAGGGATACATAATAAATTGCAAGAAACAGGAGCCCTCTCACCCCATAAAGACCAAGAAATATTCCGTCGACACCCATTACGTAAAATCCCTCGCAGACGAGTAAAATTCTAAGACACAAGAATCGCCACCTACCCACCAACGAATATTAACTTGACACCCGTTACCCAACCTCAGGTAATTTGCGGGTGAGATGAAATTGGGAGACAGAGGGGTCCTCCGGCCCGTTTATTACCGGGACTCGTGTATCGGGAGACTTAATTCAAGTGCTCGGTGCAATATCGTATAAATTTGGTGGCGAGAGTTGGTTGCGTTGTAAAGAAGGAAAACGGCTCGACGATAAGCGGCTCGTTATTATTTTTATTACACGGTGTATAATATAATTCATAGTAAGCGGCTACACGTATTTGTATACCTATAGCTTTACTATATAATTCAACCTGCGTATCCATCATGTACTATGTGCATATATATATATATATATATATATATAATCCAGGTACGTACTTAGAGTATGACGTCACTTTAGTAACTATAGCATCAGCTATTATAGTTCCAGGTACTAGAACCCCTAAATTATTATTTACCCTGTACACCCTCACAGCACTGAGCCTGGTACTCGTGTATTAAGGTGCACTCGGGTGCATTAATATCAAATTAATTTGGTACGAAGTTTCGAGTTTCTTAAGTTGGTGAATTGTGCTTGGGAAATAAGGAAAAAACAAAAAAAGCAAGAGAAACGGTTACCGTCGGGTACGACGTTATCGAACGTTATTTTCGTGTACAGAGTTATGGGAATAGAAATTCATATGTAAATGGTGTCTGTCTTGCTTTGACGTAACCTAAAGGACAAAAAAAGTAAGAAAAAAAATTCGATCAAACGTTTCACATTGATTCTATATAGGTTTATGGTTGGTTGGTTGGGTCATTGATTTTATGTGGGTTTTATGGCTGTTTATTGTACTTCATGTGGTTTATTGGTAACTAATCGATACTTGAGTTTGATTGGTAATTCTTGTTGGCAATGAATTATTAATTTGTAAGCTTCTAGTGTTTGTTATTAATTATTGGAACGCACTGTAGATGGGTGAGTATGGGGCTATTGGCTATGTACATTCTTTGTGGCTGATCGTGTTGAGTGACTGATGAGGGGGTATTGAAAAATAGAATTAAAATTTGATTTTTTGCTTGCTTTTGAGATTATTTAATTTTTATTACTCAATTTTCAGACACCGGGTATATCGAGCGAGTAGACGCTCGTTATTTCATTGACTGACAGACAAGAATGTCAGGTAACTCGACAGCGGTGATGCGTACATGCGATTGTTATACGAAAGAGGCAGTCAGCGCGAACGTATGGAGGAACGAATGTGGAAACATGAAAAATATATTAAACGGATAAAAATGACAGCTGTCAATTGTACCACGTGCGGGGATATGTATTTAACGGAAGCCGACGGAATCACGTGTGTAATGGAGGAATACATTAAAGTTGAGTGAATTTACTGATTATCTTTTAATCGTTAAAAATTCAATGACAGATATAACGCGTGTTAAATAGAATTTTTGTAATTTGAGATGGAACAAGGAAAAAATGTCAAATTCAAAAATGAAAATGACAAAATCACGAAAAATCGTAATTTGATCGAATAGTCGGTGAACGATGAATTATTAACCCTAATCGCTCCAACCGGTGAGTGTTGACGATCAAAGAGGATAAAAAAAAATGTGATTTGTAATGTCGAAATTGAAAGAAAAAATGTTTTTCAATAAAAAAGGATAATATGAGCTTACAAGATTTTTTTCCACAAGACTGTAACTCCTGGTGATACGCGTACCGAAGACATCTTCCTCGAAGACGCTGGCATTGTCTTCCGGCACATCCTGCACGGGATCATCCTCAGCCAAGGATCCAAGACTGTTGTACCACTGTGCACTACGTGTCCTGTAGGGAGCCGTCTCGTAAACGCGGTTCAGGTCTTTGCTAAAGCTCAAGCTTCTCCTTATGGGTTTTAGGCCGCGGTTTATCGCGGCCGGTAAGTCAGCACTCCCTCTTATCAACGCGCCAAACTTGCGACGCAGCGAGGGCTTGCGGTCGAATTTCGAACTCTGTTCAGTTCTGGCCTGACCAACGCCAGGGACACCTGAATTCAACGTTAAGCCAATCGTATGAGGATAAGTATCATCCCTCGACAGCGAAGGGTAAGTATTAATCGAAAAAAGTTCAAATTTGAATTTGACAATTCGAAAATCAAGTTAATCCCGAATACAAAGTATCAAGCACAAAGTACGCTGATACGCTCGAAGCAATTAAGTGACCGTAAATAAACTAAACGTACCGAGTCAAAAAATATATAAAAAATTGTCATTTTGCAAAAAAATTTCCAAAATACAAACAAAGCAAATCTCGATTCTCATCCAAACTGGAGAAAAAAATACAAAAAAAATATCGAAGAACCAGTAATTGAATAGAGCATCAAAGATTCCTTGGATCGACCGACCGATCTGCCACCTGGCGGTGCCCACCTGAGACGGACGTCACTTTGACGGATTTCGGTTCCCAAGTCGTCCGACTTGGCTGCACCTTGATGGTCCCTTGCACTTTGAAGGCTTCCTCAATGGACACGTGAGGAGCAACATGGCCGCCGTTGATTTTCAAAGGCTTGCTCACTTTCTTTGGGCTCTTCTTATTCTCTTTCTTGAGCGTCATGACGTCGCGACGTCCCAGAAACCCAAGAAGACTGACTTAGATATTCACTCGCTGTCCCGCTCAGCCCCAACACCTGACTGGCACCCCAAGAATTTAAATCGCCGCACCCATCGTTAACTCCATTCGACCAGTACCCACACTCACACCCGGAAATGAGTAACACCACCAACTTCCGGTCTCTCGATGAATCCAGTGTCACAGAGAACTTCGCACTTTCTTTATTCACTGTAATCCAACTAATCGAGCAATAAATTTCACCAAAAACTGAATACCGCACAATTTCACAGGATTTTTATTAATAAAGAATAAAAGTCATAAATTCCCTAAAAAAAAAAAAAATATTTCCAAAATCCCATTTAAAAAATCCATCCAGCCCCTACCTACGTAAACTTTGATACGCACATATCCACCGACGTACGAAAAATTATTTTTACCTATCCTATAAAGTGTACTGTCATCAAATTCCCACGAATCCCTCTAAGACACTGTCTCGATAAACCGAGGATTCGTTAACTAATCCCACTTGCTGCGCTATATCGTTGTATCTCGCCAAGTGCTTATCGTGACGCACGTTTTCACTTTTCTGTTTGCGATAAACAATAACTACGTCATTAACTGTATTCCAATACTTAATATTTACATACTATTTTTTTCTCTCTCTCTCATCATATCTTATCCTCTCTCAATTCCCTCCTCCCTTACACCGCTTGCCTCGAACCGTCCCCAGTGCACCTTCCACCTTTTTCAGTCCCACTCGATCTAAATCACCAAGCACGCCATTAATTGCCAACAAGATGCAGCCACAAAGAAGATTTGAAGAAGAAGGACGAGCACTCGCGACAATAATTGGATAGATAATGATCGACTGTAGAAGGTCCTAAATATCAATGGGAATCCCCGGGGTCCCAATTAAGTTTAAAATTAAAAAAAAAAGTCAAATCTATCGCCCGCATGAATAACTCGTTAAAAAAAAAGAAAATAACAACAAACATCCAAACGTCACCTGTCAAAGTTCGCACAGGCACACGTGGGGCCGATCGCGTCAACAAACAAAATTCACTCCCCGTCAATTCCGTTTACGGTCGATACTTCAAATAATGACAACTGTCATTAATTTTCCACGACACCTAGCAGCCTCCTTATCAATTTCGCTTATCAGGGAATCCCACAGCTGCGTCTCTACAGGCACTTTCGTCTTGGCGTATTATACACAGACCTATATACAGGGTGTTCCGAAACTACCTGACCCGTACTTATAGCTTGTGACGAAGATAATCCGATAAAATAAAAAAGTCAAAAAGGCAAATAAAAAAATTTTTACTTATATTTAAATTCTTATCACACCGATATCGTTCACTATGTATATTACGAATGACAATCCAAAATTTTATAACACCAGCATCCTGTGAATCAACCTTAATACTTTCCCGTACAAAGACGCTTAACCGTCCTTTCCTTCTCTAATGGAAATACTAGAACGAGCAAAGACGCTACTGATAAGAGATAACGAGTACGTCTCAAGAAGGCTTAGGAACTGACCCCGATAAAATCAATTAGTTACGTCCGTTGTCAAGAAATTGTCGTCGAATACGAAAAAAAAAAAAAAAAAAAAAAAAAAAAAAAAAAAAAAAAAGAAGACACGTTGTGAAGCGACCTTTAAGGGCAGCAGCCACCGAAGACAGGAATTCGATTGAAGATCCATCGGTAGCAAGCATAACCCAATAGAACCGGAAGTGACGTCAGACCCGAAAGAAAAATATGACGATATTATATGAAGACAGGAGTGAAAGTTTAAATTGTGAGAATTGAGTTGGTCGGGCGACATCAATTAGCTTACAGCTTTAATTAATCAGTGGCTCTATGAACAAGCTTGATGCAATTGGTATACGTAAAGGGTGTTTTAAAAGTTGCGAAAATCGCGGATCGCATGAATGATAAGGTAAATGCATAGGTGTACGTTGTATCCTGTGGAGCCACGTGACGTATATCTATATATAGACAGATATACGACTATACGACCCAACGTCGACGGCCGCTGCCGTGAGGTAAATGGAAACGTATGAAATACGTATATTTATACAGTTTGTGTATCCTCCATAAGAAGACTGTGACAAACAGTTGAAATAACATGTTTGAATGTCACGTGTGAAACGACGAAGAATTAACAAAATTTTCTTTTTAATTCGCAATAATTCTGTAAAATATACCACACTGCGTGTTTACGTATATATATATATATAAAGATAAAGACGCTAGAGAATAAGCCTATTGTCATTTCCATGAGAGCGCTTACGGTCGCGTCCACGTAATTGAAAGCGAAATTAACGTTGATTATAATTGCGAGCGATAAGTTCCATCTGTCTCGGTTGAAGTCGCGAAGATTCCGCGAAACTTGCACTATGAAGACTGCCGAAGCCAGCAGAAAAAAAGAAATTACGTAAATAGCGACAGTTCCCACGAGACGCAAGACAATCGATAAGACGAATCGACTAATGAAAAATCACCACGAGAACGACCGTATTGGAATTGCAAATAAATTAAGTGGGATAAAAAAAAATTTTCAATTTTGTTTTCTTTTTTTTTTCAAAATCGGCCGATCAATAAAAATCGATTGATTCAAGGTCCACGTCACAAGGCAATTGTCTTATCGCCAGCTCGCACTTTGTACGTACGCGGATGCCTTACGCGCCGCCGCGTTCACAATCTGCCACTGATAAGTACACAGCAAGTAGTAACAACCCATACCCGCGACACAGATCAGACATCGAAAATTCCACAACGTTAAAATCACACGTAGAATAAATCACGCACTTCGCCCTGACCCGATAGCTCGTGACACAACGAAATACCAAATTCGCCACGTATCCATATACAAATACATATATAACAGTGGCGAAACTGACGCAACGAAAAAAAAAAAAAAAAAAAAAAAAAAAAAAAAAAAAAAAAAAATGACAACAAAAAAACATTAAAATTGCACAAATAAAAATTATAGAACACGACTATGTCGCGAACCGTGCGGTCGCAGCGGCAAGCCGCACGCGCGCCGCAGTCCGTACCATCGATAATGCTGTTATCAGCAGAACAAAAAAGAAATTGGTAGCCGGACCGGCCGCGACTAACGTAATACAAGATCGAAGTGGGAGAGTGACAAAAAAAAAATATATATATATATATATACATACATACATAAAAATAAACTGAAAGACAGACAAAGATAAAAAGACACCTAATCCGTAGGAAACGTAAAGATAAAGTATGAATCGTACACGTTTGCAGGCCACGAGCGCGACCGATAAGCGGGTTTTTCGTACGAGGAACGTAGGGCGTGGAATAGGTGAGTGAGAAGAAAAGTAACATGACGGGGAGGACAGAATGACGGGGGGGGGCGGGGTCGGGG